AATAAAACACATCTTTTCTTCACAAAAGAATTTTTGGGATTCCATCATTGTAAAAATATAATAAAATTATTTTCCTTGTAGCTCAAAACCTGACTACAGTTACCTCTGATGTAATTTGGGACAAACAAGGTGCTGTGGCTTAGTTGGTTAAAGTACCTGTCTAGTAAACAGGAGATCCTGGGTTCAAATCCCAGCGGTGCCTTAATAAAACCCATCTTTTCATCACAAAAGAATTTTTGGGATTTCATCATTGGGAAAATATAATTAAATTATTTTTCTGTAGCTCAAAACCTGACTACAGTTAGGTGTCTCTTAATTGGGATTTTCCCATTTCTTGTCCTGCGGGCGCAAAAGGAGTGACTGAAAAGCAGAGGGGCTCTGTGGCGCAATGGACAGCGCATTGGACTTCTAGGTGAGAGAAGAAGGCATTCCAAGGTTGTGGGTTCGACTCCCACCAGAGTCATCATTTTCGTATTTTAAGTAAGAGTTGTGTCGATTAATTTTTGGTTTCCTTGAAGCTCAAAACCTGATTACAATTACCTCTGTTGTGAATTGTCATAGCAAGGCACCGTGGCTTAGTAGGTTAAAGTCCTTGTCTCATAAACATTAGATCCCAGGTTCAAATCCCAGCAGTGCCTCATAGAAATACATCTTTTCTTCACAAAATAATTTTTGGTATTCCATTATTGTAAAAATATAATTAAATTATTTTCCTTGTAGCTCAAAACATGACTACAGTTACCTCTGATGTAAATTGGAACAAACAAGGCGCTGTGGCTTAGTTGGTTAAAGTGCCTGTCTAGTAAACAGGAAATCCTGGGTTCAAATCCCAGCGGTGCCTTAATAAAACACATCTTTTCTTCACAAAATAATTTTTGGGATTTCATCATTGAGAAAATATAATTAAATTATTTTCCTTGTAGCTCAAAACCTGACTACAGTTAGGTGTCTCTTAATTGGGATTTTCCCATTTCTTGTCCTGTGGGCGCAGAAGGAGTGACTGAAAAGCAGAGGGGCTCTGTGGCGCAATGGACAGCGCATTGGACTTCTAGGTGAGAGAAGAAGGCATTCAAAGGTTGTGGGTTCGAGTCCCACCAGGGTCATCATTTTCGTATTCTAAGTAAGTGTTGTGTCGATTAATTTGTGGTTTCCTTGAAGCTCAAAACCTGATTACAATTTCCTCTGTTGTGATTTGTCATAGCAAGGCACCGTGGCTTAGTAGGTTAAAGTCCCTGTCTCATAAACATTAGATCCTGGGTTCAAATCCCAGCAGTGCCTCATAGAAATACATCTTTTCTTCACAAAATTATTTTTGGGTTTCCATCATTGTAAAAATAAAATTAAATTATTTTCCTTGTAGCTCAAAACCTGACTACAGCTACCTCTGATGTAAATTGGAACAAACAAGGCGCTGTGGCTTAGTTGGTTAAAGTGCCTGTCTAGTAAACAGCAGATCCTGGGTTCAAATCCCAGCGGTGCCTTAATAAAACAATTCTTTTCTTCACAAAAGAATTTTTGGGATTTCATCATTGAGAAAATATAATTAAATTATTTTCCTTGTAGCTCAAAACCTGACTACAGTTAGGTGTCTCTTTATTGGGATTTTCCCATTTCTTGTCCTGCCGGCGCAGAAGGAGTGACTGAAAAGCAGAGGGGCTCTGTGGCGCAATGGACAGCGCATTGGACTTCTAGGTGAGAGAAGAAGGCATTCAAAGGTTGTGGGTTCGAGTCTCACCAGAGTCATCATTTTCGTATTTTAAGTAAGTGTTGTGTCGATTAATTTTTGGTTTCCTTGAAGCTCAAAACCTGACTACAATTACCTCTGTTGTGAATTGTGAAAGACAAGGCACTGTGGCTTAGTAGGTTAAAGTTCCTGTCTCCTAAACAGGAGATCCTGGGTTAAATTGCCAGCGGTGCCTCATAGAAATACCTCTTTTCTTCACAAAATAATTTTTGGGATTCCATCATTGTAAAAATATAATTAAATTTTTTTCCTTGTAGCTCAAAACATGACTACAGTTACCTCTGATGTATATTGGAATAAACAAGGCGCTGTGGCTTAGTTGGTTAAAGTGCCTGTCTAGTAAACAGGAGATCCTGGGTTCATATCCCAGCAGTGCCTTAATAAAACACATCTTTTCTTCACAAAAGAATTTTTGGGATTTCATCATTGAGAAAATATAATTAAATTATTTTCCTTGTAGCTCAAAACCTGACTACAGTTAGGTGTCTCTTAATTGGGATTTTCCCATTTCTTGTCCTGCGGGCGCAGAAGGAGTGACTGAAGAGCAGAGGGGCTCTGTGGCGCAATGGACAGCGCATTGGACTTCTAGGTGAGAGAAGAAGGCATTCAAAGGTTGTGGGTTCGAGTCCCACCAGAGTCATCATTTTAGTATTCTAAGTAAGTGTTGTGTCGATTAATTTGTCGTTTCTTTGAAGCTCAAAACCTGACTACAATTACCTCTGTTGTGAATTGTCATAGCAAAGCACCGTGGCTTAGTAGGTTAAAGTCCCTGTCTCATAAACATTAGATCATGGGTTCAAATCCCAGCGGTGCCTTAATAAAACACATCTTTTCTTCACAAAAGAAATTTTGGGATTTCATCATTGAGAAAATATAATTACATTATTTTCCTTGTAGCTCAAAACATGACAACAGTTAGGTGTCTCTTAATTGGGATTTTCCCATTTCTTGTCCTGCGGGCACAGAAGGAGTGACAGAAAAAGCAGAGGGGCTCTGTGGCGCAATGGACAGCGCATTGGACTTCTAGGGGAGAGAAGAAGGCATTCAAAGGTTGTGGGTTCGAGTCCCACCAGAGTCATCATTTTCGTATTTTAAGTAAGTGTTGTGTCGATCAATTTTTGGTTTCCTTGAAGCTCAAAACCTGATTACAATTACCTCTGTTGTAAATTGTCATAGCAAGGCACCGTGGCTTAGTAGGTTAAAGTCCCTGTCTCATAAACATTAGATCCTGGGTTCAAATCCCAGCAGTGCCTCATAGAAATACATCTTTTCTTCACAAAATAATTTTTGGGATTCCATCATTGTAAAAATATAATTAAATTATTTTTCTTGTAGCTCAAAACATGACTACAGTTACCTCTGATGTAATTGGAACAAACAAGGCGCTGTGGCTTAGTTGGTTAAAGTGCCTGTCTAGTAAACAGGAGATCCTGGGTTCAAATCCCAGCGGTGCCTTAATAAAACACATCTTTTCTTCACAAAAGAATTTTTGGGATTTCATCATTGAGAAAATATAATTAAATTATTTTCCTTGTAGCTCAAAACCTGACTACAGTTAGGTGTCTCTTAATTGGGATTTTCCCATTTCTTGTCCTGCGGGCGCAGAAGGACTGACTGAAGAGCAGAGGGGCTCTGTGGCGCAAAGGACAGCGCATTGGACTTCTAGGTGAGAGAAGAAGGCATTCAAAGGTTGTGGGTTTGAGTCTCACCAGAGTCATCATTTTCGTATTTTAAGTAAGTGTTGTGTCGATTAATTTTTGGTTTCCTTGAAGCTCAAAACCTGATTACAATTACCTCTGTTGTGAATTGTCATAGCAAGGCACCGTGGGTTAGTAGGTTAAAGTCCCTGTCTCATAAACATTAAATCCTGGGTTCAAATCCCAGCAGTGCCTCATAAAAATACATCTTTACTTCACAAAAAAATTTTTGGGATTCCATAATTGTAAAAATATAATTAAAATATTTTCCTCGTAGCTCAAAACCTGACTACAGTTACCTCTGATGTAATTTGGGTCAAACAAGGTGCTGTGGCTTAGTTAGTTAAAGTGCCTGTCTTGTAAACAGGAGATCCTGGGTTCAAATCCCAGCGGTGCCTTAATAAAACACATCTTTTCTTCACAAAAGAATTTTTGCGATTCCATCATTGTAAAAATATAATTAAATTATTTTCCTTGTAGCTCAAAACCTGACTACAGTTACCTCTGATGTAATTTGGAACAAACAAGGTGCTGTGGCTTAGTTGGTTAAAGTGCCTGTCTAGTAAACAGGAGATCCTGGGTTCAAGTCCCAGCGGTGCCTTAATAAAACACATCTTTTCTTCACAAAAGAATTTTTGGGATTTCATCATTAAGAAAATATAATTAAATTATTTTCCTTGTAGCTCAAAACCTGACTGCAGTTAGGTGTCTCTTAATTGGGATTTTCCCTTTTCTTGTACTGCAGGCGCAGAAGGAGTGGGTGAAAAGCAGAGGGGCTCTGTGGCGCAATGGACAGCGCATTGGACTTCTAGGTGAGAGAAGAAGGCATTCAAAGGTTGTGGGTTTGAGTCCCACCAGAGTCGGCATTTTCGTATTCTAAGTAAGTGTAGTGTCGATTAATTTGTGGTTTCCTTAAAGCTCAAAACCTGACTACAATTACCTCTGTTGTGAATTGTGAAAGACAAGGCACTGTGGCTTAGTAGGTTAAAGTTCCTGTCTCCTAAACAGGAGATCCTGGGTTTAATTACCAGCGGTGCCTCATAGAAATACATCTTTTCTTCACAAAATAATTTTTGGGATTTCATCATTGAGAAAATATAATTAAATTATTTTCCTTGTAGCTCAAAACATGACTACAGTTACCTCTGATGTAAATTGAAACAAACAAGGCGCTGTGGCTTAGTTGGTTAAAGTGCCTGTCTAGTAAACAGGAGATCCTGGGTTCAAATCCCAGCGGTGCCTTAATAAAACACAGCTTTTCTTCACAAAAGAATTTTTGGGATTTCATCATTGAGAAAATATAATTACATTATTTTCCTTGTAGCTCAAAACCTGACTACAGTTAGGTGTCTCTTAATTGGGATTTTCCCATTTCTTGTCCTGCGGGCGTAGTAGGAGTGACTGAAAAGCAGAGGGGCTCTGTGGAGCTATGGACAGCGCATTTGACATCTTGGTGAGAGAAGAACGCATTCAAAGGTTGTGGGTTCGAGTCCCACCAGAGTCATCATTTTCGTATTTTAAGTAAGTGTTGTGTGGATTAATTTTTGGTTTCCTTGAAGCTCAAAACCTGATTACAATTACCTCTGTTGTGAATTGTCATAGCAAGGCACCGTGGCTTAGTAGGTTAAAGTCCCTGTCTCATAAACATTGGATCCTGGCTTCAGATCCCAGCAGTGCCTCATCTTTTCTTAAAAAAATCATTTTTGGGGCTCCATCATTCTAAGTAAGTGTTGTGTCGATTAATTTTTGGTTTCCCTGAAGCTCAAAACCTGATTACAATTACCTCTGTTGTGAATTGTCAAAGCAAGGCACCGTGGCTTAGTAGGTTAAAGTCCCTGTCTCATAAACATTAGATCCTGGGTTCAAATCCCAGCAGTGCCTCATAGAAATACATCTTTTCTTCACAAAATAATTTTTGAGATTCCATCATTGTAAAAATATAATTCAATATTTTCCTTGTAGCTCAAAACCTGACTACAGTAACCTCTGATGTAACTTGGAACAAACAAGGCGCTGTGGCTTTAGTTGGTTAAAGTGCCTGTCTAGTAAACAGGAGATCCTGGGTTCAAATCCCAGCGGTTCCTTGATAAAACACATCTTTTCTTCACAAAAGAATTTATGGGATTCCATCATTGTAAAAATATAATTAAATTATTTTCCTTGTAGCTCAAAACCTGACTACAGTTACCTCTTATGTAATTTGGAACAAACAAGGTGCTGTGGCTTAGTTGGTTAAAGTGCCTGTCTAGTAAACAGGAGATCCTGGGTTCAAATCCCAGCGGTGCCTTAATAAAACACATCTTTTCTTCACAAAAGAATTTTTGGGATTCCATCATTGTAAAAATATAATTCAATATTTTCCTTGTAGCTCAAAACCTGACTACAGTTAGGTGTCTCTTAATTGGGATTTTCCCATTTCTTGTCTTGTGTGCGCAGAAGGAGTGACTGAAAAGCAGAGGGGCTCTGTGGCGCAATGGACAGCGCATTGGACTTCTAGGTGAGAGAAGAAAGCATTCAAAGGTTGTGGGTTCAAGTCCCAACAGAGTCATCATTTTCGTATTTTAAGTAAGTGTTGTGTCGATTAATTTGTGGTTTCCTTGAAGCTCAAAACCTGACTACAATTACCTCTGTTGTGAATTGTCATAGCAAGGCGCTCTGGCTTAGTAGGTTAAAGTCCCTGTCTCGTAAACAGGAGATCCTGGGTTTAAATCCCAGCGGTGCCTCATAGAAATACATTTTTTCTTCACAAAATAATTTTTGGGATTCCATCATTGTAAAAATATATTTAAATTATTTTCCTTGTAGCTCAAAACCTGACTACAGTTACCTCTGATGTAAATTAGAACAAACAAGCTGCTGTGGCTTAGTTGGTTAAAGTGCCTGTCTAGTAAACAGGAGATCCTGGGTTCAAATCCCAGCGGTGCCTTAATAAAACACATCTTTTCTTCACAAAAGAATTTTTGGGATTTCATCATTGAGAAAATATAATTAAATTATTTTCCTTGTAGCTCAAAACCTGACTACATTTAGGTGTCTCTTAATTGGGATTTTCCCATTTCTTGTCCTGCGGGCGCAGAAGGAGTGATTGAAAAGCAGAGGGGCTCTGTGGTGCAATGGACAGTGCATTGGACTTCTAGCTGAGAGAAGAAGGCAATCAAAGGTTGTGAGTTCGAGTCTCTCCAGAGTCATCATTTTCGTATTTTAAGTAAGTGTTGTGACGATTAATTTTTGGTTTCCTTGAAGCTCAAAACCTGATTACAATTACCTCTGTTGTAAATTGTCATAGCAAGGCACCGTGGCTTAGTAGGTTAAAGTCCCTGTCTCATAAACATTAGATCCTGGGTTCAAATCCCAGCAGTGCCTCATAGAAATACATCTTTTCTTCACAAAATTATTTTTGGGATTCCATCATTGTAAAAATAAAATTAAATTATTTTCCTTGTAGCTCAAAACATGACTACAGTTACCTCTGATGTAAATTGGAACAAACAAGGCGCTGTGGCTTAGTTGGTTAAAGTGCCAGTCTAGTAAACAGGAGGTCCGGGGTTCAAATCCCAGCGGTGCCTTAATAAAACACATCTTTTCTTCACAAAAGAAATTTTGGGATTTCATCATTGAGAAAATATAATTACATTATTTTCCTTGTAGCTCAAAACCTGACTACAGTTAGGTGTCTCTTAATTGGGATTTTCCCATTTCTTGTCCTGCTGGCGCAGAAGGAGTGACTGAAAAGCAGAGGGGCTCTGTGGAGCAATGGACAGCGCATTGGACTTCTAGGTGAGAGAAGAAGGCATTCAAAGGTTGTCGGTTCGAGTCCCACCAGAGTCATCATTTTCGTATTTTAAGTAAGTGTTGTGTCGATTAATTTTTGGTTTCCTTGAAGCTCAAAACCTGACTACAATTACCTCTGTTGTGAATTGTGAAAGAAAAGGCACTGTGGCTTAGTAGGTTAAAGTTCCTGTCTCCTAAACAGGAGATCCTGGGTTTAATTCCCAGCGGTGCCTCATAGAAATACATCTTTTCTTCATAAAATAATTTTTGGGATTCCATCATTGTAAAAATATAATTAATTTATTTTCCTTGTAGCTCAAAACCTGACTACAGTTACCTCTGATGTAATTTGGAGCAAACAAGGCGCTGTGGCTTAGCTGGTTAAAGTGCCTGTCTAGTAAACAGGAGATCCTGGGTTCAAATCCCAGCGGTGCCTTAATAAAACACATCTTTTCTTCACAAAAGAATTTTTGGGATTTCGTCATTGAGAAAATATAATTAAATTATTTTCCTTGTAGCTCAAAACCTGACTACAGTTAGGTGTCTCTTTATTGGGATTTTCCCATTTCTTGTCCTGCCGGCGCAGAAGGAGTGACTGAAAAGCAGAGGGGCTCTGTGGCGCAATGGACAGCGCATTGGACTTCTAGGTGAGAGAAGAAGGCATTCAAAGGTTGTGGGTTCGAGTCCCACCAGAGTCATCATTTTCGTATTCTAAGTAAGTGTAGTGTCGATTAATTTGTGGTTTCCTTGAAGCTCAAAACCTGACTACAATTACCTCTGTTGTGAATTGTGAAAGACAAGGCACTGTGGCTTAGTAGGTTAAAGTTCCTGTCTCATAAACATTAGATCCTAGGTTTAAATTCCCGGCGGTGCCTTCATAAAATACATCTTTTCTTCACAAAATAATTTTTGGGATTCCATCATTGTAAAAATATAATTAAATTATTTTCCTTGTAGCTCAAAACCTGACTACAGTTACCTCTGATGTAATTGGAACAAATAAGGTGCTGTGGCTTAGTTGGTTAAAAGTAGAGATCCTGGGTTCAAATCCCATCGGTGCCTTAATAAAACACATCTTTTCTTCACAAAATAATTTTTGGGATTTCATCATTGAGAAAATCTAATTAAATTATTTTCCTTGTAGCTCAAAACCTGACTACAGTTAGGTGTCACTTAATTGGGATTTTCCTATTTCTTGTCCTGCCGGCGCAGAAGGAGTGACTGAAAAGCAGAGGGGCTCTGTGGCGCAATGGACAGCGCATTGGACTTCTAGGTGAGAGAAGAAGGCATTCAAAGGTTGTGGGTTCGAGTCCCACCAGAGTCATCATTTTCGTATTCTAAGTAAGTGTAGTGTCGATTAATTTGTGGTTTCCTTGAAGCTCAAAACCTGACTACAATTACCTCTGTTGTGAATTGTGAAAGACAAGGCACTGTGGCTTAGTAGGTTAAAGTTCCTGTCTCCTAAACAGGAGATCCTAGGTTTAATTCCTAGTGGTGCCTCATAGAAATACATCTTTTCTTCACAAAATAATTTTTGGGATTCCATCATTGTAAAAATATAATTAAATTATTTTCCTTGTAGCTCAAAACCTGACTACAGTTAGGTGTCTCTTAATTGGGATTTTCCCATTTCTTGTCCTGTTTGTGCAGAAGGAGTGACTAAAACACAGAGGGGCTCTGTGGCGCAATGGACAGCGCATTGGACTTCTAGGTGAGAGAAGAAGGCACTCAAAGGTCGTGGGTTCGAGTCCCACCAGAGTCATCATTTTCGTATTTTAAGTAAGTGTTGTGTCGATTAATTTTTGGTTTCCTTGAAGCTCAAAACCTGATTACAATTTCCTCTGTTGTGATTTGTCATAGCAAGGCACCGTGGCTTAGTAGGTTAAAGTCCCTGTCTCATAAACATTAGATCCTGGGTTCAAATCCCAGCAGTGCCTCATAGAAATACACCTTTTCTTCACAAAATTATTTTTGGGATTCCATCATTGTAAAAATAAAATTAAATTATTTTCCTTGTAGCTCAAAACATGACTACAGTTACCTCTGATGTAAATTAGAATAAACAAGGTGCTGTGGCTTAGTTGGTTAAAGTGCCTGTCTAGTAAACAGGAGATCCTGGCTTCAAATCCCAGCGGTGCCTTAATAAAACACATCTTTTCTTCACAAAAGAATTTTTGGGATTTCATCATTGAGAAAATATAATTAAATTATTTTCCTTGTAGCTCAAAACCTGACTACAGTTAGGTGTCTCTTAATTGGGATTTTCCCATTTCTTGTCCTGTGGGCGCAGAAGGAGTGACTGAAAAGCAGAGGGGCTCTGTGGCGCAATGGACAGCGCATTGGACTTCTAGGTGAAAGAAGAAGGCATTCAAAGGTTGTGGGTTCGAGTACCACCAGAGTCATCATTTTCGTATTCTAAGTAAGTGTAGTGTCGATTAATTTGTGGTTTCCTTGAAGCTCAAAACCTGATTACAATTTCCTCTGTTGTGATTTGTCATAGCAAGGCACCGTGGCTTAGTAGGTTAAAGTCCCTGTCTCATAAACATTAGATCCTGTGTCCAAATCCCAGCAGTGCCTCATAGAAATACATCTTTTCTTCACAAAATAATTTTTGGGATTCCATCATTGTTAAAATATAATTAAATTATTTTCCTTGTAGCTCAAAACCTGACTACAGTTACCTCTGATGTAAATTGGAACAAACAAGGCGCTGTGGCTTAGTTGGTTAAAGTGCCTGTCTAGTAAACAGGAGATCCTGGGTTCAAATCCCAGCGGTGCCTTAATAAAACACATCTTTTCTTCACAAAAGAATTTTTGGGATTTCATCATTGAGAAAATATAATTACATTATTTTCCTTGTAGCTCAAAACCTGACAACAGTTAGGTGTCTCTTAATTGGGATTTTCCCATTTCTTGTCCTGCGGGCACAGAAGGAGTGACTGAAAAGCAGAGGGGCTCTGTGGCGCAATGGACAGTGCATTGGACTTCTAGGTGAGAGAAGAAGGAATTCAAAGGTTGTGGGTTCGAGTCCCACCAGAGTCATCATTTTCGTATTCTAAGTAAGTGTAGTGTCGATTAATTTGTGGTTTCCTTGAAGCTCAAAACCTGACTACAATTACCTCTGTTGTGAATTGTGAAAGACAAGGCACTGTGGCTTAGTAGGTTAAAGTTCCTGTCTCCTATACAGGAGATCCTGGGTTCAATTCCCAGCTGTGCCGCATAGAAATACATCTTTTCTTCACAAAATAATTTTTGGGATTCCATCATTGTAAAAATATAATTAAATTATTTTCCTTGTAGCTCAAAACCTGACTACAGTTACCTCTGATGTATATTGGAACAAACAAGGTGCTGTGGCTTTGTTGGTAAAAGTGCCTGTCTAATAAACAGGAGATCCTGGGATCAAATCCCAGCGGTGCCTTAATAAAACACATCTTTTCTTCACAAAAGAATTTTTGGGATTTCATCATTGAAAAAATATAATGAAATAATTTTCCTTGTAGCTCAAAACCTGACTACAGTTAGGTGTCTCTTAATTGGGATTTTCCTATTTCTTGTCCTGCGGGCGCAGAAGGAGTGACTGAAAAACAGAGGGGCTCTGTGGTGCAATGGACAGCGCATTGGACTTCTAGGTGAGAGAAGAAGGCATTCAAAGGTTGTGGGTTCGAGTCCCACCAGAGTCATCATTTTCGTATTCTAAGTAAGTGTAGTGTTGATTAATTTGTGGTTTCCTTGAAGCTCAAAACCTGACTACAATTACCTCTGTTGTGAATTGTGAAAGTCAAGGCACTGTGGCTTAGTAGGTTAAAGTTCCTGTCTCCTAAACAGGAGATCCTGGGTTTAATTCCCAGCGGTGCCTTAATAAAACACATCTTTTCTTCACAAAATAATTTTTGGGATTCCATCATTGTAAAAATATAATTAAATTATTTTCTTTGCAGCTCAAAACCTGACTACAGTTACCTCTGATGTAAATTGGAACAAACAAGGCGCTGTGGCTTAGTTGGTTAAAGTGCCTGTCTAGTAAACAGGAGATCCTGGGTTCAAATCCCAGCAGTGCCTTAATAAAATACATCTTTTCTTCACAAAAGAATTTTTGGGATTTCATCATTGAGAAAATATAATTAAATTATTTTCCTTGTAGCTCGAAACCTGACTACAGTTAGGTGTGTCTTAATTGGGATTTACCCATTTCTTGTCCTGCCGGCGCAGAAGGAGTGACTGAAACACAGAGGGGCTCTGTGGCGCAATGGACAGCGCATTGGACTTCTAGGTGAGAGAAGAAGGCATTCAAAGGTTGTGGGTTTGAGTCCCACCAGAGTCATCATTTTCGTATTTTAAGTAAGTGTTGTGTTGATTAATTTTTGGTTTCCTTGAAGCTCAAAACCTGATTACAATTTCCTCTGTTGTGATTTGTCATAGCAAGGCACCGTGGCTTAGTAGGTTAAAGTCCCTGTCTCATAAACATTAGATCCTGGCTTCAAATCCCAGCAGTGCCTCATAGAAATACATCTTTTCTTCACAAAATTATTTTTGGGATTCCATCATTGTAAAAATAAAATTAAATTATTTTCCTTGTAGCTCAAAACATGACTACAGTTACCTCTGATGTAAATTGGAACAAACAAGGCGCTGTGGCTTAGTTGGTTAAAGTGCCTGTCTAGTAAACAGGAGAGCCTGGGTTCAAATCCCAGCGGTGCCTTAATAAAACACATCTTTTCTTCACAAAAGAATTTTTGGGATTTCATCATTGAGAAAATAAAATTAAATTATTTTCCTTGTAGCTCAAAACCTGACTACAGTTAGGTGTCTCTTAATTGGGATTTTCCCATTTCTTGTCCTGCGGGCGCAGAAGGAGTGACTGAAAAGCAGAGGGGCTCTGTGGCGCAATGGACAGCGCATTGGACTTCTAGGTGAGAGAAGAAGGCATTCAAAGGTTGTGGGTTCGAGTCCCACCAGAGTCATCATTTTCGTATTCTAAGTAAGTGTAGTGTCGATTAATTTGTGGTTTCCTTGAAGCTCAAAACCTGACTACAATTACCTCTGTTGTGAATTGTGAAAGACAAGGCACTGTGGCTTAGTAGGTTAAAGTCCCTGTCTCATAAACATTAGATCCTGGGTTCAAATCCCAGCAGTGCCTCATAGAAATACATCTTTTCTTCACAAAATTATTTTTGGGATTCCATCATTGTAAAAATAAAATTAAATTATTTTCCTTGTAGCTCAAAACCTGACTACAGTTAGGTGTCTCTTAATTGGGATTTTCCCATTTCTTGTCCTGCCTGCGCAGAAGGAGTGACTGAAAAGCAGAGGGGCTCTGTGGCGCAATGGACAGCGCATTGGACTTCTAGGTGAGAGAAGAAGGCATTCAAAGGTTATGGGTTCGAGTCCACCAGAGTCATCATTTTCGTATTCTAAGTAAGTGTAGTGTCGATTGATTTGTGGTTTCCTTGAAGCTCAAAACCTGACTACAATTACCTCTGTTGTGAATTGTGAAAGACAAGGCACTGTGGCTTAGTAGGTTAAAGTTCCTGTCTCCTAAACAGGAGATCCTGGGTTTAATTCCCAGCGGTGCCTCATAGAAATACATCTTTTCTTCACAAAAGAATTTTTGGGATTCCATCATTGTAAAAATATAATTAAATATTTTCCTTGTAGCTCAAAACATGACTACAGTTACCTCTGATGTATATTAGAACAAACAAGGCGCTGTGGCTTAGTTGGTTAAAGTGCCTGTCTAGTAAACAGGAGATCCTGGGTTCAAATCCCAGCGGTGCCTTAATAAAACACATCTTTTCTTCACAAAATAATTTTTGGGATTCCGTCATTGTAAAAATATAATGAAATAATTTTCCTTGTAGCTCAAAACCTGACTACAGTTAGGTGTCTCTTAATTGGGATTTTCCCATTTCTTGTCCTGTGGGCGCAGAAGGGGTGACTGAAAAGCAGAGGGGCTCTGTGGCGCAATGGACAGCGCATTGGACTTCTAGGTGAGAGAAGAAAGCATTCAAAGGTTGTGGGTTTGAGTCCCATCAGAGTCATCATTGTTGTATTTTAAGTAAGTGTTGTGTCGATTAATTTTTGGTTTCCTTGAAGCTCAAAACCTGATTACAATTACCTCTGTTGTGAATTGTCATAGCAAGGCACCGTGGCTTAGTAGGTTAAAGTCCCTGTCTCATAAACATTAGATCCTGGGTTCAAATCCCAGCAGTGCCTCATAGAAATACATCTTTTCTTCACAAAATTATTTTTGGGATTCCATCATTGTAAAAATATAATTAAATTATTTTCCTTGTAGCTCAAAACCTGACTACAGTTAGGTGTCTCTTAATTGGGATTTTCCCATTTCTTGTCCTGTGGGCGCAGAAGGAGTGACTGAAAAGCAGAGGGGCTCTGTGGCGCATTGGACAGCGCATTGGACTTCTAGGTGAGAGAAGAAAGCATTCAAAGGTTGTTGGTTTCGAGTCCCACCAGAGTCATCATTTTCGTATTCTAAGTAAGTGTAGTGTCGATTAATTTGTGGTTTCCTTGAAGCTCAAAACATGACTACAATTACCTCTGTTGTGAATTGTGAAAGACAAGGCACTGTGGCTTAGTAGGTTAAAGTTCCTGTCTCCTAAACAGGAGATCCTGGGTTTAATTCCCAGTGGTGCCTCATAGAAATACATCTTTTCTTCACAAAATAATTTTTGGGATTCCATCATTGTAAAAATATAATTAATTTATTTTCCTTGTAGCTCAAAACCTGACTACAGTTACCTCTGATGTAAATTGGAACAAACAAGGCGCTGTGGCTTAGTTGGTTAAAGTGCCTGTCTAGTAAACAGGAGATCCTGGGTTCAAATCCCAGCGGTGCCTTAATAAAACACATCTTTTCTTCACAAAATAATTTTTGGGATTCCATCATTGTAAAAATATAATTAAATTATTTTCCTTGTAGCTCAAAACCTGACTACAGTTAGGTGTCTCTTAATTGGGATTTTCCCATTTCTTGTCCTGTGGGCGCAGAAGGAGTGACTGAAAAGCAGAGGGGCTCTGTGGGGCAATGGACAGCGCATTGGACTTCTAGGTGAGAGAAGAAGGCATTCAAAGGTTGTGGGTTTCGAGTCCCACCAGAGTCATCATTTTCGTATTCTAAGTAAGTGTAGTGTCGATTAATTTGTGGTTTCCATGAAGCTCAAAACCTGACTACAATTACCTCTGTTGTGAATTGTGAAAGACAAGGCACTGTGGCTTAGTAGGTTAAAGTTCCTGTCTCCTAAACAGGAGATCCTTGGTTTAATTCCCAGTGGTGCCTCATAGAAATACATCTTTTCTTCACAAAATAATTTTTGGGATTCCATCATTGTAAAAATATAATTAAATTATTTTCCTTGTAGCTCAAAACATGACTACAGTTACCTCTGATGTAAATTGGAACAAACAAGGCGCTGTGGCTTAGTTGGTTAAAGTGCCTGTCTAGTAAACAGGAGATCCTGGGTTCAAATCCCAGCAGTGCCTTAATAAAACACATCTTTTCTTCACAAAATAATTTTTGGGATTTCATCATTGAGAAAATATAATTAAATTATTTTCCTTGTAGCTCAAAACCTGACTACAGTTAGGTGTCTCTTAATTGGGATTTTCCCATTTCTTGTCCTGCCGGCGCAGAAGGAGTGACTGAAAAGCAGAGGGGCTCTGTGGCGCAATGGACAGCGCATTGGACTTCTAGGTGAAAGAAGAAGGCATTCAAAGGTTGTGGGTTCGAGTACCACCAGAGTCATCATTTTCGTATTCTAAGTAAGTGTAGTGTCGATTAATTTGTGGTTTCCTTGAAGCTCAAAACCTGACTACAATTACCTCTGTTGTGATTTGTCATAGCAAGGCACTGTGGCTTAGTAGGTTAAAGTTCCTGTCTCCTAAACAGGAGATCCTGGGTTTAATTCCCAGCGGTGCCTTATAAAAATACATCTTTTCTTCACAAAATAATTTTTGGGATTCCATCATTGTAAAAATATAATTAAATTATTTTCCTTGTAGCTCAAAACCTGACTACAGTTACCTCTGGTGTAAGTTGGAACAAACAAGGCGCTGTGGCTTAGTTGGTTAAAGTGCCTGTCTAGTAAACAGGAGACCCTGGGTTCAAATCCCAGCGGTGCCTCAATAAAACACATCTTTTCTTCACAAAAGAATTTTTGGGATTCCATCATTGTAAAAATATAATTAAATTATTTTCCTTGTAGCTCAAAACCTGACTACAGTTACCTCTGATGTAATTTGGGACAAACAAGGTGCTGTGGCTTAGTTGGTTAAAGTGCCTGTTTAGTAAACAGGAGATCCTGGGTTCAAATCCCAGCGTGCCTTAATAAAACACATCTTTTCTTCACAAAAGAATTTTTGGGATTTCCATCATTGTAAAAATATAATTAAATTATTTTCCTGTAGCTCAAAACCTGACTACAGTTAGGTGTCTCTTAATTGGGATTTTCCCATTTCTTGTCCTGCGGCGCAGAAGGAGTGACTGAAAAGCAGAGGGGCTCTGTGGCGCAATGGACAGCGCATTGGACTTCTAGGTGAGAGAAGAAGGCATTCAAAGGTTGTGGGTTCGAGTCCCACCAGAGTCATCATTTTCGTATTCTAAGTAAGTGTAGTGTCGATTGATTTGTGGTTTCCTTGAAGCTCAAAACCTGACTACAATTACCTCTGTTGTGAATTGTCATAGCAAGGCACCGTGGCTTAGTAGGTTAAAGTCCCTGTCTCATAAACATTAGATCCTGGGTTCAAATCCCAGCAGTGCCTCATAGAAATACATCTTTTCTTCACAAAATTATTTTTGGGATTCCATCATTGTAAAAATAAAATTAAATTATTTTCCTTGTAGCTCAAAACCTGACTACAGTTACCTCTGATGTAAATTGGAACAAACAAGGTCGCTGTGGCTTAGTTGGTTAAAGTGCCTGTCTAGTAAACAGGAGATCCTGGGTTCAAATCCCAGCGGTGCCTTAATAAAACACATCTTTTCTTCACAAAATAATTTTTGGGATTTCATCATTGAGAAAATATAATTAAATTATTTTCCTTGTAGCTCAAAACCTGACTACAGTTAGGTGTCTCTTAATTGGGATTTTCCCATTTCTTGTCCTGCGGGCGCAGAAGGAGTGACTGAAAAGCAGAGGGGCTCTGTGGCACAATGGACAGCGCATTGGACTTCTAGGTGAGAGAAGAAGGCATTCAAAGGTTGTGGGTTCGAGTCCCACCAGAGTCATCATTTTCGTATTCTAAGTAAGTGTTGTGTCGATTAATTTGTGGTTTCCTTGAAGCTCAAAACCTGACTACAATTACCTCTGTTGTGAATTGTGAAAGACAAGGCACTGTGGCTTAGTAGGTTAAAGTTCCTGTCTCCTAAACAGGAGATCCTGGGTTTAATTCCCAGCGGTGCCTCATAGAAATACATCTTTTCTTCACAAAATAATTTTTGGGATTCCATCATTGTAAAAATATAATTAAATTATTTTCCTTGTAGCTCAAAACCTGACTACAGTTACCTCTGATGTAAATTGGAACAAACAAGCGCTGTGGCTTAGTTGGTTAAAGTGCCTGTCTAGTAAACAGGAGATCCTGGGTTCAAATCCCAGCGGTGCCTTAATAAAACACATCTTTTCTTCACAAAAGAATTTTTGGGATTTCATCATTGAGAAAATATAATTAAATTATTTTCCTTGTAGCTCAAAACCTGACTACAGTTAGGTGTCTCTTAATTGGGATTTTCCCATTTCTTGTCCTGCGGGCGCAGAAGGAGTGACTGAAAAGCAGAGGGGCTCTGTGGCGCAATGGACAGCGCATTGGACTTCTAGGTGAGAGAAGAAGGCATTCAAAAGTTGTGGGTTCGAGTCCCCAGGGTCATCATTTTCGTATTCTAAGTAAGTGTAGTGTCGATTAATTTGTGGTTTCCTTGAAGCTCAAAACCTGACTACAATTACCTCTGTTGTGAATTGTGAAAGACAAGGCACTGTGGCTTAGTAGGTTAAAGTTCCTGTCTCCTAAACAGGAGATCCTGGGTTTAATTCCCAGTGGTGCCTCATAGAAATACATCTTTTCTTCACAAAATAATTTTTGGGATTCCATCATTGTAAAAATATAATTAAATTATTTTCCTTGTAGCTCAAAACATGACTACAGTTACCTCTGATGTAAATTGGAATAAACAAGGCGCTGTGGCTTAGTTGGTTAAAGTGCCTGTCTAGTAAACAGGAGATCCTGGGTTCAAATCCCAGCGGTGCCTTAATAAAACACATCTTTTCTTCACAAAATAATTTTTGGGATTTCATCATTGGAAAATATAATTAAATTATTTTCCTTGTAGCTCAAAACCTGACTACAGTTAGGTGTCTCTTAATTGGGATTTTCCCATTTCTTGTCCTGCGGGCGCAGAAGGAGTGACTGAAAAGCAGAGGGGCTCTGTGGCGCAATGGACAGCGCATTGGACTTCTAGGTGAGAGAAGAAGGCATTCAAAGGTTGTGGGTTCGAGTCCCACCAGAGTCATCATTTTCGTATTCTAAGTAAGTGTTGTGTCGATTAATTTGTGGTTTCCTTGAAGCTCAAAACCTGACTACAATTACCTCTGTTGTGATTTGTCATAGCAAGGCACCGTGGCTTAGTAGGTTAAAGTCCCTGTCTCATAAACATTAGATCCTGTTTCAAATCCCAGCGGTGCCTCAATAGAAATACATCTTTTCTTCACAAAATAATTTTTGGGATTCCATCATTGTAAAAATATAATTAAATTATTTTCCTTGTAGCTCAAAACCTGACTACAGTTACCTCTGATGTAATTTGGAACAAACAAGGCGCTGTGGCTTAGTTGGTTAAAGTGCCTGTCTAGTAAACAGGAGATCCTGGGTTCAAATCCCAGCGGTGCCTTAATAAAACACATCTTTTCTTCACAAAAGAATTTTTGGGATTTCATCATTGAGAAAATATAATTAAATTATTTTCCTTGTAGCTCAAAACCTGACTACAGTTAGGTGTCTCTTAATTGGGATTTTCCCATTTCTTGTCCTGCGGGCGCAGAAGGAGTGACTGAAAAGCAGAGGGGCTCTGTGGCGCAATGGACAGCGCATTGGACTTCTAGGTGAGAGAAGAAGGCATTCAAAGGTTGTGGGTTCGAGTCCCACCAGAGTCATCATTTTCGTATTCTAAGTAAGTGTAGTGTCGATTAATTTGTGGTTTCCTTGAAGCTCAAAACCTGACTACAATTACCTCTGTTGTGAATTGTCATAGCAAGGCACTGTGGCTTAGTAGGTTAAAGTTCCTGTCTCCTAAACAGGAGATCCTGGGTTTAATTCCCAGTGGTGCCTCATAGAAATACATCTTTTCTTCACAAAATAATTTTTGGGATTCCATCATTGTAAAAATATAGTTACATTATTTTCCTTGTAGCTCAAAACATGACTACAGTTACTTCTGATGTAAATTGGAACAAACAAGGCGCTGTGGCTTAGTTGGTTAAAGTGCCTGTCTAGTAAACAGGAGATCCTGGGTTCAAATCCCAGCGGTGCCTTAATAAAACACATCTTTTCTTCACAAAAGAAATTTTGGGATTTCATCATTGAGAAAATATAATTAAATTATTTTCCTTGTAGCTCAAAACCTGACTACAGTTAGGTGTCTCTTAATTGGGATTTTCCCATTTCTTGTCCTGCGGGCGCAGAAGGAGTGACTGAAAAGCAGAGGGGCTCTGTGGCGCAATGGACAGCGCATTGGACTTCTAGGTGAGAGAAGAAGGCATTCAAAGGTTGTGGGTTCGAGTCCCACCAGAGTCATCATTTTCGTATTCTAAGTAAGTGTTGTGTCGATTAATTTGTGGTTTCCTTGAAGCTCAAAACCTGACTACAATTACCTCTGTTGTGAATTGTGAAAGACAAGGCACTGTGGCTTAGTAGGTTAAAGTTCCTGTCTCCTAAACAGGAGATCCTGGGTTTAATTCCCAGTGGTGCCTCATAGAAATACATCTTTTCTTCACAAAATAATTTTTGGGATTCCATCATTGTAAAAATATAATTAAATTATTTTCCTTGTAGCTCAAAACCTGACTACAGTTACCTCTGATGTAAATTAGAACAAACAAGCCGCTGTGGCTTAGTTGGTTAAAGTGCCTGTCTAGTAAACAGGAGATCCTGGGTTCAAATCCCAGCGGTGCCTTAATAAAACACATCTTTTCTTCACAAAATAATTTTTGGGATTCCATCATTGTAAAAATATAATTAAATTATTTTCCTTGTAGCCCAAAACCTGACTACAGTTACCTCTGATGTAAATTGAAACATACAAGGCGCTGTGGCTTAGTTGGTTAAAGTGCCTGTCTAGTAAACAGGAGATCTGGGTTCAAATCCCAGCGGTGCCTTAATAAAACACATCTTTTCTTCACAAAAGAAATTTTGGGATTTCATCATTGAGAAAATATAATCACATTATTTTCCTTGTAGCTCAAAACCTGACAACAGTTAGGTGTCTCTTAATTGTGATTTTCCCATTTCTTGTCCTGCGGGTACAGAAGGAGTGACTGAAAAGCAGAGGGGCTCTGTGGCGCAATGGACAGCGCATTGGACTTCTAGGTGAGAGAAGAAGGCATTCAAAGGTTGTGGGTTCGAGTCCCACCAGAGTCAACATGTTCGTATTTTAAGTAAGTGTTGTGTTGATTAATTTTTGGTTTCCTTGAAGCTCAAAACCTGATTACAATTTCCTCTGTTGTGACTTGTCATAGCAAGGCACCGTGGCTTAGTAGGTTAAAGTCCCTGTCTCATAAACATTAGATCCTAGGTTCAAATCCCAGCGGTGCCTTAATAAAACACATCTTTTCTTCACAAAAGAATTTTTGGGATTCCATCATTGTAAAAATATAATTAAATTATTTTCCTTGTAGCTCAAAACCTGACTACAGTTACCTCTGATGTAAATTGGAACAAACAAGGCGCTGTGGCTTAGTTGGTTAAAGTGCCTGTCTAGTAAACAGGAGATCCTGGGTTCAAATCCCAGCGGTGCCTTAATAAAACACATCTTTTCTTCACAAAAGAATTTTTGGGATTTCATCATTGAGAAAATATAATTACATTATTTTCCTTGTAGCTCAAAACCTGACAACAGTTAGGTGTCTCTTAATTGGGATTTTCCCATTTCTTGTCCTGCGGGCACAGAAGGAGTGACTGAAAAGCAGAGGGGCTCTGTGGCGCAATGGACAGTGCATTGGACTTCTAGGTGAGAGAGAAGGAATTCAAAGGTTGTGGGTTCGAGTCCCACCAGATTCATCATTTTCGTATTCTAAGTAAGTATTGTGTCGATTAATTTGTGGTTTCTTTGAAGCTCAAAACCTGACTACAATTACCTCTGTTGTGAATTGTCATAGCAAGGCACCGTGGCTTAGTAGGTTAAAGTCCCTGTCTCATAAACATTAGATCCTAGGTTCAAATCCCAGCGATGCCTTAATAAAACACATCTTTTCTTCACAAAAGAATTTTTGGGATTCCATCATTGTAAAAATATAATTAAATTATTTTCCTTGTAGCTCAAAACCTGACTACAGTTACCTCTGATGTAAATTGGAACAAACAAGGCGCTGTGGCTTAGTTGGTTAAAGTGCCTGTCTAGTAAACAGGAGATCCTGGGTTCAAATCCCAGCGGTGCCTTAATAAAACACATCTTTTCTTCACAAAAGAATTTTTGGGATTTCATCATTGAGAAAATATAATTAAATTATTTTCCTTGTAGCTCAAAACCTGACTACAGTTAGGTGTCTCTTAATTGGGATTTTCCCATTTCTTGTCCTGTGGGCGCAGAAGGAGTGACTGAATGTAGAGGTGCTCTGTGGCGCACTGGACAGCGCATTGGACATCTAGGTGAGAGATGAAGGCATACAAAGGTTGTGGGTTCGAGTCCCACCAGATTCATAATTTTCGTATTCTAAATAAGTGTTGTGTCGATTAATTTGTGGTTTCCTTGAAGCTTAAAACCTGACTACAATTACCTCTGTTGTGAATTGTCATAGCAAGGCGCTCTGGCTTAGTAGGTTAAAGTCCCTGTCTCGTAAACAGGAGATCCTGGGTTTAATTCCCAGCGGTGCCTCATAGAAATACATCTTTTCTTCACAAAAGAATTTTTGGGATTCCATCATTGTAAAAATATAATTAAATTATTTTCCTTGTAGCTCAAAACCTGACTACAGTTACCTCTGATGTAAATTGGCACAAATAAGGCGCTGTGGCTTAGTTGGTTAAAGTGCCTGTCTCGTAAACAGGAGATCCTGGGTTCAAATCCCAGCGGTGCCTTAATAAAATACATCTTTTCTTCGCAAAATAACTTTTGGGATTTCATCATTGATTAAATATAATTTTCCTTGTAGCTTAAAACCTGACTACAGTTAGGTGTCTCTTATTTGGGATTTTCCCATTTCTTTTCCTGTGGGCGCAGAAGGAGTGACTGAAAAACTGTGGGGTTCTGTGGCGCAATGGACAGCGCATTGAACTTCTAGGACAGAAGAAGGCATTTAAAGGTTGTGGGTTCGAGTCCCACCAGACTCATCAGTTTGCATTCTAAGTAAGTGTTCAGTCGATTAATTTTTGGTTTCCTTGAAGCTCAAAACCTTACTACAATTACCTCTGTTGTGAATTGTGAAAGACAAGGCACTGTGGCTTAGTAGGTTAAAGTTCCTGTCTCCTAAACAGGAGATCCTGGGTTCAAATCCCAGCGGTGCCTTAACAAAATACATCTTTTCTTCACAAAATAATTTTTGGGATTTCATCATTGTTAAAATATAATTAAATTATTTTCCTTGTAGCTCAAAACCTGACTACAGTTACCTCTGATATAAATTGGAACAAACAAGGCGCTGTGGCTTAGTTGGTTAAAGTGCCTGTCTCGTAAACAGGAGATTCTGGGTTCAAATCCCAGCGGTGCCTTAACAAAATACATCTTTTCTTCACAAACTAATTTTTGGGATTTCATCATTGAGAAAATATAATTAAATTATTTTCCTTGTAGCTCAAAACCTGACTACAGTTAGGTGTCTCTTAATTGGGATTTTCCCATTTCTTGTCCTGCGGGCGCAGAAGGAGTTTCTGAAAAGCAGAGGGGCTCTGTGGTGCAATGGACAGCACATTGGACTTCTAGGTGAGAGAAGAAGGCATTCAAAGGTTGTGGGTTCGAGTCCCACCAGAGTCATCATTTTCGTATTCTAAGTAAGTGTTGTGTCGATTATTTTGTGGTTTCCTTGAAGCTCAAAACCTGACTACAATTACCTCTGTTGTGAATTGTGAAAGACAAGGCAATGTGGCTTAGTAGGTTAAAGTTCCTGTCTCCTATACAGGAGATCCTGGGTTCAATTCCCAGCTGTGCCGCATAGAAATACATCTTTTCTTCACAAAATAATTTTTGGGATTCCATCATTGTAAAAATATAATTAAATTATTTTCCTTGTAGCTCAAAACCTGACTACAGTTACCTCTGATGTAATTTGGTACAAATAAGGCGCTGTGGCTAGTTGGTTAAAGTGCCTGTCTAGTAAACAGGAGATCCTGGGTTCAAATCCCAGCGGTGCCTTAATAAAACACATCTTTTCTTCACAAAAGAATTTTTGGGATTTCATCATTGAGAAAATATAATTAAATTATTTTCCTTGTAGCTCAAAACCTGACAACAGTTAGGTTTCTCTTAATTGGGATTTTCCCATTTCTTGTCCTGCGGGCACAGAAGGAGTGACTGAAAGCAGAGGGGCCTGTGGCGCAATGGACAGTGCATTGGACTTCTAGGTGAGAGAAGAAGGAATTCAAAGGTTGTGGGTTCGAGTCCCACCAGAGTCATCATTTTCGTATTCTAAGTAAGTGTAGTGTCGATTAATTTTTGGTTTCCTTGAAGCTCAAAACCTGATTACAATTTCCTCTGTTGTGATTTGTCATAGCAAGGCACCGTGGCTTAGTAGGTTAAAGTCCCTGTCTCATAAACATTAGATCCTGGGTTCAAATCCCAGCAGTGCCTCATAGAAATACATCTTTTCTTCACAAAATTATTTTTGGGATTCCATCATTGTAAAAATAAAATTAAATTATTTTCCTTGTAGCTCAAAACATGACTACAGTTACCTCTGATGTAAATTGGAACAAACAAGGCGCTGTGGCTTAGTTGGTTAAAGTGCCTGTCTAGTAAACAGGAGATCCTGGGTTCAAATCCCAGCGGTGCCTTAATAAAACACATCTTTTCTTCACAAAAGAATTTTTGCGATTCCATCATTGTAAAAATATAATTAAATTATTTTCCTTGTAGCTCAAAACCTGACTACAGTTACCTCTGATGTAATTTGGCACAAATAAGGCGCTGTGGCTTAGTTGGTTAAAGTGCCTGTCTCGTAAACAGGAGATCCTGTGTTCAAATCCCAGTGGTGCCTTAACAAAATACATCTTTTCTTCACAAAATAATTTTTGGGATTTCATCATTGATTAAATATAATTACATTATTTTCCTTGTAGCTCAAATCATGACTACAGTTACCTCTGATGTAAATTGGTACATATGAGGTGCTGTGGCTTAGTTGGTTAAAGTGCCTGTCTCGTAAACAGGAGATCTTGGGTTCAAATCCCAGCGGTGCCTAAACAAAATACATCTTTTCTTCGCAAAATAATTTTTGGGATTTCATCATTAATTAAATATAATTAAATTATTTTCCTTGTAGCTTAAAACCTGACTACAGTTAGGTGTCTCTTATTTGGGATTTTCCCATTTCTTTTCCTGCGGGCGCAGAAGGAGTGACTGAAAAACAGTGGGGCTCTGTGGCGCAATGGACAGTGCATTGGACTTCTAGGACAGTAGAAGGCATTTAAAGGTTGTGGGTTCGAGTCCCACCAGAGTCATCAGTTTGCATTCTAAGTAAGTGTTGAGTCGATTAATTTTTGGTTTCCTTGAAGCTCAAAACCTTACTACAATTACCTCTGTTGTGAATTGTGAAAGACAAGGCACTGTGGCTTAGTAGGTTAAAGTTCCTGTCTCCTAAACAGGAGATCCTGGGTTTAATTCCCAGTGGTGCCTCATAGAAATACATCTTTTCTTCACAAAATTATTTTTGGGATTCCATCATTGTAAAAATAAAATTAAATTATTTTCCTTGTAGCTCAAAACATGACTACAGTTACCTCTGATGTAAATTGGAACAAACAAGGCGCTGTGGCTTAGTTGGTTAAAGTGCCTGTCTAGTAAACAGGAGATCATGGGTTCAAATCCCAGCGGTGCCTTAATAAAACACATCTTTTCTTCACAAAAGAATTTTTGCGATTTCATCATTGAGAAAATATAATTAAATTATTTTCCTTGTAGCTCAAAACCTGACTACAGTTAGGTGTCTCTTAATTGGGATTTTCCCATTTCTTGTCCTGCCGGCGCAGAAGGAGTGACTGAAAAGCAGAGGGGCTCTGTGGCGCAATGGACAGCGCATTGGACTTCTAGGTGAAAGAAGAAGGCGTTCAAAGGTTGTGGGTTGGAGTCCCACCAGAGTCATCATTTTCGTATTCTAAGTAAGTGTTGTGTGGATTAATTTTTGGTTTCCTTGAAGCTCAAAACCTGATTACAATTTCCTCTGTTGTGATTTGTCATAGCAAGGCACCGTGGCTTAGTAGGTTAAAGTCCCTGTCTCATAAACATTAGATCCTGGGTTCAAATCCCAGCAGTGCCTCATAGAAATACATCTTTTCTTCACAAAATAATTTTTGGGATTCCATCATTGTAAAAATATAATTAATTTTTTTTCCTTGTAGCTCAAAACATGACTACAGTTACCTCTGATGTATATTGAAACAAACAAGGCGCTGTGGCTTAGTTGGTTAAAGTGCCTGTCTAGTAAACAGGAGATCCTGGGTTCAAATCTCAGCGGTGCCTTAATAAAACACATCTTTTCTTCACAAAATAATTTTTGGGATTCCATCATTGTAAAAATATAATGAAAT